ACCTCGCGGTCAACCTGAAACTGCAGCTCACCTAAAATACGACGATCTTCAGCGATCCTGGAATCTATGATCGCTAAGGCGCCGTCGGAATCTTTACGTGGAGCAGCAGTGGTGGCAGCGTTCGTCTGAAAGCTCTGCATCAGTCCAGAGTGCTGTCTGGACACGAAGGTTTCAACCTGGTCTCGCAGCTCAGCGACCTCACCTGCAGCGGACGTCGCCGCCGGCAGGCCGTCTGAGAGGGAGAGGTGAGGAGCGTCAGCTCCCTGTTGCATCCTCTCGCGAGGAGTGCATGGCCTCTGAGAGGCAGCACGCGGGCTCGACCTATTCTCGTCGTGGGGGCATGTGGCCTCACGACGGTTACGCAAGGACGAGCTGCGGCTGGGGCCGTGCGTGTGGTTTCTGACGAAATGATACCTTGGGATACTGCGTCTGCGGCTGCGCCGCCACTGGTCTACCGAGCTCCTCGAAAGCAGCAACGTGTTCCGACGCAGGAGCGGTCGCAAGACTGGTCAGGCCAGTACTGGGGTTCCATCGGCGGGAAGCGCGGAAGCGCCCTGGAGCACCGTGACCAGTGGGGCTTGCGCCCGACGCAGTTGGGATTGCTCCCGGCGGAAGAGGAAATGGAGGTTCGAAGGTAGGCGTGTGAAATCCTCCACTACCTGCTCCTACTCCTTTTCCTGTCTCCCCGCGGGCGGCGTGGCGTTGAAGTTCAGCAGCGAGCCGCGCCTCGGGTCCGTCTGAGCTGGGGGGGGGGGGGATTTGGGACCCCCACACGGTTACCTCTAAGGCTCTCCAACTCATCACCGAGCCGTCGCACCGTGGGAGAGCTCGGACGCGAGGCCCCGACGGATCTTTTACGGCGCATGCGCCGCTCGGGCACCAACAAGGCCGCGTGCGAGATCGCGACGCGGGGTTCGGTGAACGGTTAGCTTTAAGGGCTGATACCTTGTGTATGGGGTTGGAGTACAAAGGTACAGAACCCCTGATCCGTTGGTCGAGGAAAGGAGGGAAAGATGGATATCTTTTCTTCCTGCACGATCAAAGGTCTGATCGATCTAATCCAATACCTCAGCCCAAACGGCCAGGAGCAGGAGAGTCAGGATAAGGAGTATATATGAGGATATCTTACGAGTTCTATTCACAGTGTCCCCCCGGCTCAGTTTTGGACGGCCCCGGGGCCCGACAACTGCCCTGGGAGGCCGAAAAGGGCAAAAACCCGAGCCTGGCACCTCCAACCTGCCCCTCCCTTCCCGCTCGCCAGGACCAGCCGGCTCCAGACTCCCAGCCGGCTCCAGCTGCCAGTGTCCCCTCCCTGCACTCGATGGTCAGCCTTCGGGTGTTGCTAGAAGTGCTCCTGTCCCAACGTGCCCCTAGGACTTCCATGGTGGCCCCCACGGCCTCCAGAGCACCCCTCACGTGGCCACAGGGGCCCCAGGAAAAGGAGGAGGAGGTGGAGGAGGAGGAGGAAGAGGAGGAAAAAGGGGAGGAGAAGGAGGAAGAGGAGGACGAGGAAGAGAAGGGAGGAGGAAGAGGAGGAGGAGGAGGAGGGTGAGGGTGAGGAGGACGAGGAGGAGGACGAGGAGGAAGAGGAGGAGAAGAGGGAGGAGGAGGAGGAAGAGGAGGCGGAAGAGGAGGAGGAGGAGGAGGAGGAGGAGGAGGAGGAGGAGGAGGAGGAGGAGGAGGAGGAGAGGGACGAGGAGGCGAAGGAGGAGGAGGAAGAGGAGGAGGAGAGAAAAGAGGAGAGGGAGGATAAGGAGGAAGAAAAGGAGGGGGAAGAGGAGGAGGAGGAGAAAAGAAAGGAGGAGGAGGCAGGAGGGAGGAGGGAGGACCTGAAGTGGAGCTAAAAGCTGGAGGCACCTTGGGCCAGGAGCACCTTTCGCAACCCCCGACCTGCTGCTGCTCAGGGGCCTCCTCGTGTGCCTCGTGCGCTCCCGGTTGCTGCTTGCTCTGCCCGTACGCTGCGGGCGCGGGCGCGCGCCTGGTCTCTCTGCCCCGCGGAGCGTCCCAGCCGAGCTGCAGGAGCAGGAAGGCGGATGCAGCGCTAACGAAAGGCAGACATTGATGGAACGCACAGAGACGTACTAGTACCATATGTCCTCCTTGGCGGACCGCGTCCGACCCGAACTTATACTATACCCATCTTGTAATGTATAAATGCACGCCGATTAACATACGTGTATACATAGTTGTGTGTATGTATGGTGTGGTTGCATGTGTGTAAATATGTATAAGTGTATATACGTATGGATGTATGGATGTATGTATGTATGTATGTATAGATGTATGTATGGATGTATGTATGTATGTATGAATGTATGTATGTATGTATGTTTATATGCATGCATGCATGTATGCATGCATGTATGTATGTATGTGTATATCGCTTCCCGAGTGGTGTGGCCAGGGACAGCCCACCACGACAAAGCTCTTCTATAACCTTCCTCGGTACGAGCGTTGGCCCCTGGGGGAGCGGCGCACACATAGCATCAGCAGTGTGCTGGGGCAGCGCCGAGTATACGCCAAGCAGCGGGGAGGCGTCCCGAAGCGTGGGTGCCCCCACCCACCCACCGAAGCGTGGGGACTCCCCCCCCCCTCCCCCCCCTTCCCCCCGGACGGTGCGTCGGCGGTGGACAAGCCTCCCTTTCGCAAACCCCCCCTCAGTGAAAACGACCCGGGCCCGAAATCGACGGACCTGGACCAGCGAAGAGGACGGCCGCGGCGCCCCCTCGCGAACCGAACACGGCCAATTCCGTAATCGACGCGTCAGGGCAGGAGGCCTGTCCGGTCCACCCCCCGGACGGCGGGGGCCCCAAAACCTCGCCCGTGTCGTCGGCGCACGGAGCGCCCCTCCAAGGGAGCGCTCCGGAGCGCCCTCCCTTCATACACAAGGCTCGCGGGGGGGCGCCCGCCGCAGGGGCGGAGCTGGGACGACGGTTTCCTCTTCACCACGAGGATCAGGATCGAAAAGGGGGTCGAGCGCATGAGAGGGGAGAGAATACAGCAGGAGCCCGACCACGAGAGGCCTTCCACAGGAGGCCAACCGTCGGGTTCGCGGGGGGCCGCCCGCGGCAGGGGCTGAGCTGGGACGACGTCGGCTGCTCATTCTGGGGGACCTTCCTGGAGACGCTCGCTCCACTTGTGCGCCGAAGCTGCGTCGAACGCCCGTCGATGTAGGCCGACCCCGAGTAGAACGTGAGTCGAACCGGAGTCGAACGTGAGTCGAACGTGAGTCGGGTCGGGCGAAAGGGGGGGATAGCAAAGGGGGGGTTTGAGAATCAGCTCGCGTAGCTGATTTTACCGGCGCCGGAAGCGGCTATGTATCGAGGAATGGGCCCCTCGGTGAGGCCGAAACCAGCTGTATGCAGCAAATTTCGTAACCCCCCCTTTCCCAATCCCCCCCTTTCGCCCGACCCGAGTGAGTCGAACTTGAGCCGAACTTGAGTCGAACAGATCCGTCAGGTGGGCCCCCGGAAGGTCCCCAAACGGGCATACACACCCTGCGAAATGCTTAAGAAATCATGGGTTAAGAAATTCAGTCTCAGATCTTGAATAAAAACCCAACACGTCTATTAAAAACTTAGGATTTGCATTGAAACATTAAGAATAATCGAGACTCTCGCCGAAAACGCAGGTTTTCTTAAGCATCGCCTAAGGTGTAAGCATCGCGACACTGGAAGCGCCCCGCCCGGAGCTCCGACGCGCCCAAGAGGCCCCCACGAGGCCTCCGAGCGGCCCCCAAGAGCTTCCCAAGAGGCCCACAAACTACCCCCAAGAGGCCCCCAAGAGCGCTCGTCGTCGTCGTCGTCGTCGTCGTCGTCGTCGTCGTCGTCGTCGTCGTCGTCGTCGTCGTCGCCATTCAGGGTCGGCGGCACCGGCCGTAAGGCCTGCGCAATACTGAGGAAGCACCTCGGAGAAGAAGGAAGGCCGAAAAGAGGGAGGAGGAGAGGGGCAAAGGAAGTAGGCGCATCCGAAGTCCCCTGAGAACCCCAGGGAGCCAGCACCCACCCACGGACCTTGGCCGTAGGCGGCTGGATTCCCCGCGCCTCGATGCAGCCATCGAGGCCCAAAAGGGCAGCTGGCGAGAGCGGGTGCCGTCTTGGCACGTCGTCGCCGTCGCCGTTGTCCTCCCGACATCCCCCTCCCCACCCTCGATCGCCGACCCCCCTTTCGACGACCCCCCTTTCGAAAACTCCACAGGCTGTGGACAACGTGCCTGTTGCATTCTGCTTCTGGGGAGGGGGGGGAAGGGGGGGTCAGATGTAGGGGGTGGGGGGCTGGTGGCGAAAGGTCCGTGGCCGCGCGCTTGCACTCGATCGAGCGCGGGCTCCGCACGCCGATGGGCAGTGCACGTAGAGGTCGCGCGAGCGAGGCCGTCTGCACCTCCCTCTGGCGCACGAAACCTCTCTGATCCCATGCCTTCCAATTCAAGCGGGGAGGGGGAGGAGGGGGAGGGGGGGAGGGGCAACCTTGGAAAGTCGCTCCTCCTTGCTGTGCGCGTGAGGACTCGAACCTCCGGGGCCCCAGGAGGCCCCTGTGGGGGACCCCCCCCTGCAGCGCTCGGGCGCTCCCCATTGATCGCCCCCCCATTGGGACACGCCCGACACCAGGGAAAACGATAACGAAAAGCGAACATGTTCGCTTTGTTATCGTTTCTCCCCTTCTTGTCTTCAATCAACCCTTGCTGCAGAACGACACCGAAACGTCAACGGCCCACGACATCGCAAAAAAACACTGTTTGGGTCGACCCCTGCCCGACACCTCTGGTCAGCGCCCCTCTAACGAGAACTCCGCTACAGTGTACTCTGGCCAGTGACCCGGCGAAGCCAACCCTCCCCGATGTGGGCGGCGCTGCAATGCCAGAAGTGCCGACGTTGCTGGCCTCTTCCTGGCCAGAAGGAGGCACCGAAGCGGCAACATTCGGCAAGCTCCCAAAAGATTCGTGACGAACCCATTGCGATGCCGCCGAACCTCTGGTCAGGGCAGGGCCAAGCGGGGGGCGCCTGTGACCTCGCCGCTCTTCGGGACGTACTCTCCGGAGCCTGCGGCGAGGAGAGCAGGGGCGCAGCATACAGTAGGAGCTCGACCGCAAGGGACCCTCCGCAAGAAGCCCGGCCCTGAGACCCCGGGAAGCCCACTCATCTTGAGACCCAGCCCTGGGACCCCATGAGAAACCCAGCCCTGAGACGCGAAACCTCCTCCTCCTCCTCCTCCTCCTCCCAGCCCTGGGACCCCTGAGAGATCCAGCCCTGGGACCCCCGTCCTGAGACCCCACAGCAACACCAGCGAACCAGAGGGGCACGGCGCCAGGAGAGGGCTGGAGAAGATCGGGCGGGTGCTAACAGGGGGTGGTCCAACTTAGAGGGGAGGAGGAGGAGGAGGAGGAGGAGGAGGAGGAGGAGGAGGAGGAGGAGGAGGAGGAGGAGGAGGAGGGAAATCCACCCCGACAATAACCACCCCGGCACACGAACCGTCCAGCAACGCACCCAAAGAAGGAATCCAACATGGCAAGGCGTTAAACGTCGATTGTCCAAACCGGGTGCGGTTTTCCCTCCCTCGACACATGGGGGGTGAACAACAAGAAGGCCCTGAAAGGTCCCCCTGGGCCCCCTTTAGGGGCCCCAAAGGGCCCCTTCAGGGTGCCCGTTTCTTCCCCCCCCATTTGGGTCCCCCCCATTCGCACCCGCTCGAGAGGAAGGCTGGCCCCAGATCGCCATCACATCAGCTGCTCCTCGTCGTTTGGGAGAGCCGAAGACGTCTGCAAGATAGAGGCATTCGGATTCGAGAGCGCGCTATCCGCCCCCGTGCCCCTGCGAGCAGCGCGGGGCGCCCCAAGGCTCGCACGGCTGTCAGTCCTGGGTAATACAGGACTCTCATCAGAGGCCAGCGATTTCCAGAATGTCTCAAGGTTTGGCGGTGGGCTCAAACATTGTCACTTTCTAAACAAATTCCAAGCACTTGTTGGCCCAAAGGGTGCGACAGGTCAGCTGCCTGTGACCTCCCCCGCCCAAGACGGCCCCACGAACCCCCAAGAGGCAAGGAAGCCCGAGAGGCCTCCACGAGGCACCCGGGCCACACCCCAGGCAAGGTGGGGGGAAAGGTCGAAGGCCACTGGAAGAGGCAAAGGATAGCCCATTGGAGCGACAAGCAGTGGCATAATCAAACTCATACACAGAAGCATCGGCCCGACGCCGTGTGCCCTGCCTGGAATCAGCAGGCGAGAAACACATGGCGATGTACCAATCGCCATTGACCGATTGAGTATGGCCCCACCTCGGCGGTTTCACGAATTGCTGGCAACATGATCCCAGGCGACACACCGCCTAACGATCGCAAATGCCCTCAGGGAGGGCGGTGGCGGCGGCGGTCTACAACTTTTCGGAGTCATTACATATCGAAGCCATTGCACTTGTGGGAGGTGGAAAATATATGTTCAATAGTTTGCCCAGTGCATTGCTTCACGTCCGATACAACACATTCGCGTCAAGAAGATTGTCGCCCCATCGGGCAGTCGGGACCCCGCTTCCTTTGCTCAATGGATTTGCAGGCCGCCTTCAGAGATCCCTAATTCTTACATGTCGGCGCTCCTGCACAATTTCCTGGATGATCGATCCTGGGAAGCCGACTGCGGCACCGAGACGGGAAAAGACTGGCATAGCATCCTTCAAAAGCAACCGAACACACCTCCGTGACTGCCACAAGGCCCCCCGCAAAAGGTCAAAGACTTCCATGATGGCACGGACATGTTCTCAAGAAGGCCCCGAGCGACTCCCATGCCGCCCCCAGCAGGCCGTTGAACAACACAGAAAACCAATTCAGACACATTATGAACTGTATACTCTGTGTCGGCGTGGCGCCCTGAAGCCGCTCAGGAAGGCTTCTGTTCCAAGAGAACGTCCCGATGGGGCATCTTTGCTTACAAGGCGCGACTGTGCGATTCGATCACTCCTCGGCGCGGCACCCTGCAAGAATCCCATCACGACGCCGCGGTCGAACTCCGTGGCCGAACTCTCCGCGACAGCCTCCGGGGGCTTCGCCAGGGGGCATGCGTAATTCGGATCACCCTGTCCTTCTCGGGGAATAACTCGATGTTCTTCAGCGTGCTCCCCACGCTCCGTCCTTCTGCCCCTCGCGTGCCCCCATGATCTGTCGTGCTTCTCCTTGGTTCTCTCGTCTTTCTCGTCCTTCTGCCTCTTCTCCTGCTCGCCTTGGTCCTTAGCCTCCTCCTCCCCCTCCTCCTCAAAGCCTGCGCTTTCCTTTCCGCTTGGGCCGACATACCTTGCAAATCAACTTCGAACCGTTCATAATCCCCCCTCCTTCGTCCACATCGTCGTCCTCGCCGTAAAACGCCTGATGTCCCTCTTCCGCGGCCTCCACCATCTCGCAGGCCCCCCTCCCCCTCTCGTACAGCCTGAGAGGATGCCCGCAACACCCTTCTCGCCCCCACCCCGTGTGACGCCGGCCCTCACGTCACAGAGCGCGGCCCAGCCGACTACATCCACGCCGCACAAAGTGCCATCGGCTGCCCGAACTCCTGCACCATCAGTGTGGCCCATAGTTGAGGCCGACGCTCAAAAGAAAGTTCGAGAGCGTAGCTGAGTCGTGTTCACCATATGTGATCTCATGGCTGGACCAGATGTTTCCCCCACCCCGTGAGTTCCATGACATGGTGGGTCCAGCATCCACCAGGGGGAAAACAGTATATAACGTGGCGGGCACAAGCATAGTAGCAGTCGTAATGGCGCCTGTTGTAGTAGTAGCAATGAAATTAGATCAAGGATCGGTAATAATACTGGTACTGGTAGTGGCGGTGGTTGTCATAGTGGTAGCAATAAGAAACGTATTCGTAGTAGTAGTGGTGGTGACTTAGCAAGTGTATTGATAATTGTTAAAACAAAAACCAAACCTAACGACGAAGAAATGGTGGTCGGTTGTACTCGCGTGTGTGTCAATACTGAACATAGTAGCGCAAGTAGTGATAGTAATTAGGGGAGTCCTAGTCGCAGCAGCAGTGCACCATGAGTCATAGTGGCAAAGCGTGGTCGTAGACGTAGTAGTCGCCGTCGTCGTTGTGGAAGCAATTCTAGACTGAGGGACAGCAACAATGTGGATTAGTGGTAGCTGTCGTCATACAAAACGTATGAGGAACATATGTAGGAATACGAATGGCACTCCTCGTAGAAATGGCACTCGCAATAACCATAGTCATAGTTCTTAGAACACGAGTGGCAAAACTAACAGTAGTAATTGCGCTGGCACTGAGACCGTCCTTACTACGAGTAAAGCAGACAACTGAAGAGTCGCCATCGGAGTATTAATGTGATAATGGTACCGGTAGTGAGATTCGCGGTTGTGGTTGCAATCGCTGTGTTCGTACTGGTATGTCATAAGCAGTACGGGCTAACAACGCGACAGCAAAAACACTACACAAAATGGTACAACCAGGTGTTGCGATAACGGCTACATTCCCGATAGCGAGAGCATGAATTGTAATGAGAGAAGCGGTAGCAGAAGTAGTTGTAATAGAAGAAGTAGTTGTAGTAGTGAGAACATTCGTAGTAGTAGCAGCAGTAGCAGTAGTAATAGTCGTGGTCGAAGTAATAGCAGGAGTAGTCGTAGTCGTAGTAGTCGTGGTAGTGGTAGTAGAAGTAGTAGTGGTGTTCGTAGTCGTAGTACTAGTAGTAGTAGTAGTAGTAGTAGTAGTAGTAGTCGTAGAAGTAGTCGTAGTAGTAGCAGTTGTAGTAGTAGTAGTAGTAGTAGTAGTGGTAGTAGTAGTAGTAGTAGTAGTAGTAGTAGTAGTAGTCGTCGTGGTAGTAGTCGTAGTCGTAGTAGTAGTAGCAGTAGTAGTAGTAGTAGAAGTAGTAGAAGTAGTAGTAGTAGTAGTAGTAGTAGTACTTAGTAGCAGCCGCAGCAAAAGTAGTAGAAGTAGTTGTTGTTGTCGTAGAAGTAGCAGCACTATTCGTGATCGATTTGGTGGTCGTCGTGGTAGAGGTGGCAATGGAAATGGTATACGTAATCTTGACAAAAAGGTCGGACGGGTCGTAGAAGTACGACAGAACAGTCGTAGTAGCCGCAGCGTTGGTAGTAGTAGTAGTAGTAGTAGTAAGATTAGTAGTAGTAGTAGTAGTAGTAGTAGCAGTAGTAGTAGTAGTAGTAGTAGTAGTAGTAGTCGTAGTAGTAGTAATACCAGTAGTAGTAGTAGTGGTCGCAGTAGCGGTAGTCGGAGTAATGGTAGTAGTAGTAGAGGTCGTAGCCGTAGAAGCAGTAGTGGTAGAACAACTAATGGTAAAGGTAGTGGTGGTGAAGATAGCAGGTCGCCGTGGTAGTAATATCTTGAGTAGTAGCAGTAGCTGTAGTAGTAGTAGTAGTAGTAGTAGTAGTAGTAGTTACAGGAATAGAGGCAGTGGTAGTGGTAGTTGTAGCAGTAGCAATACTGGTAGTAGCAGTCGTAGTAGCAGTTAAGACAAACGTGAAAGTAGTAGTGGTACTGGTAGTCATACTAAGTAGTGGTAGTAATGCTGGCAGGGCAAAGAAGAGTTGTAATAGTACAAATAAAAAGTAGTGGTAGTAGTCGTACTAGTAATAGTAGACCAAACAATAGTAAAAGGAGTAGTGGTGATTGTAGAAATCATTGATTTTGTAGTGGTAGTCGTACTACTTGGGGTAGCAGTAGTAGTAGTATTAGCAGCAGTAGTAGTAGTAGTAGTAGTAGTAGTAGTCGTCGTCGTCGTCGTGGTAGTAGTAGTAGTAGCAACCGTAGTAAGAAACGGCAACAATATGCATACTGATAATGGAAGTGGTACGGCTAATACCGGTTGTGGCCGTAATAACCGTAGTAGTCGTAGTAGTAGTAGTCGTAGTAGCAGTAGTAGTAGAAGTAGAAGTAGAAGTAGTAGTAGTAGCAGCAGTAGTATCAGTACTAGTACTAGTACTAGTACTAGTACTAGTACTAGTACTAGTACTAGTACTAGTACTAGTACTAGTACTAGTACTAGTACTAGTAGCAGTAGCAGTAGTAGTAGTAGTAGTAGTAGTAGTACTAAAGTAGTACTACTACTAATACTAGTACTAGTAGTAGTCGTAGTCGTAGTAGTAGTAGTAGTAGTAGTAGTAGTAGTAGTAGTAATAGTAGTAGTAGTAGTAGTAGTGGTAGTGGTAGTAGTAGTAGTAGTAGTAGTAATAGTAGAAGTAAGACAGTGAGTCAGTAAGTAGTAGTAGCAGTAGTAGTTGTTGTTGTCGTAGTATTGTTACGAATCGTAGTAGTGGTAATAGTAGTAGTAATAGTAGTAGTAGTAGTAGTTGTTGTTGTCGTAGTAGTAGTTGTCGTAGTAGTAGTGGTAGTAATGTTGTCGTAGTAGTAGTTGTTGTTGTCGCAGTATTGGTAATAGTAGTTGTAGTAATTGATAGTAGTAGTCGTCGTCGTCGTCGACGTCGTCGAATTAATTATCGTGGTAGTGGGAGCGCCTGCAGGCACCACGATCTGCTTGCGAGCAATACTGCAGACTACAGAACACTTCGAGGACATGCCCGACTTAACATGGGAGCGTCACGCTTTCCATAGCAAAACCATCGAAGCCCAAGAAACCCAGAGCACCCTGGCGGCAAGGAGGGTGTTTCCTGGCATGGGTTTCCACTGCAGGCACGGATCCCCTTCGCAGAACCTCCTCGTCACCCCCGCGACGTCCCCGGAGGAGCACGAGCAGGCCCACGAGGGCGGCGCGAGAGGGACTCCCCGCGCAGCCTGCTGCGCGCGATCCTCGAAGTGCGAGGTGGCCCGCGAGGGTGGCGCGAGAAGCGATGTCCTCATGACCCGCGCGCTTCCCGGAGTGCAGAGCCCAGAACTCTGCAGGCGCCCAGGGACACACACACACACACAGACACAACTCAAGAGACGCAAATCCCAGGATTCCCTATATCCTCAGTTTCCTGGATGCTCGTCTTCCTCTCCGCTTCCCGCATTGCCCAGATTCACCTGGGGATCGACGAATATCTGTGTCTGCCTTGTTTCCCTGCCGAAACTCTGGCTCCAGAGCGCCCGGGGGCGTCTAAGATAACGAAAAGGTGCCGAGACCGCTGCTCCATGGACCTCTTCTGGGGTGCGTTGTGACGATAATTTCGAGGTGAATCCAGCAGTTGCGCCGAGGAGCTTCCCAGGAGGCCCGAAAAGCCAAAAATGAGGGAAGGGTAGCTGCATCGGTACCCTTTCCTCCTCTGAGAATTTCGAGGCGAGTCAAGCCCTGGCGACGAGGATATCGGTATGCGTACATGCTCCACTTCTGAGTGTCAAGGAGGAGGAGCAGAGGGGCAGGGGGGCCTGAAAGCGGCAGGGGGTTCTGCGCTGGGATAGCCCCAAGAATCTCGGTCAAGGGGATAATGTGGCAACTCGCGGGAGCCTCCCATAGCATCCTGTTGGCCCTTACGAATCGACGCTATCGACGCTAGTTGATGTTAATCCACGCTAGATCAACGCTAAATCGACGCAAAATTCGACACTATCTCACCGATTACCAGACACTAGTCGACGCTAGTGCACTCTGAGTCGACGCCAGTGCACTCTGAGGACGGAAATACGAGAGTACGCACGGCTCCCATGAGTTGCTCCGAGCAGAGGGGAGGCGAGGGCGCATGTGCTCAAAATGGGTTCCCCGACCCCCCTGGGTCGACTCTGGCCGGCGTTTCCATCCGTGCCCAGCCGTGGCGACGAGGGGGCCCCTCCCTCCCATCTCTTCTGGGGGGCGCGCAAACATGGATTAGCGACCCATGGATTTGGCGCGCGGTCGCCAACTCCATTGATGGGCGGAAGTGCTTGGGCGTGGCTTAATGGGGGGGTCACAAATGGGGGGTCAGACAAGGTCCCCTGTCGTGCCCCTTCCGGGCCCCTCCAGAGCCCCAGGGGGCTCGTTCAGGTACCGTTTGGGTACCTTTACGAACCACCCTCGCCACCCCCCCATTTATGACCCCCCCATTACGCAGCGCCCAAAGTGCCCTCCCCAACGCAGCGCCCAAAGTGCCCTCCCCAAAATTCGGCCGGTGCCGCCTCGTTCGGCGGCGGAACTCCACAATTTTTGTTCGGTGGAGGCGGGACCCGTCGCCGATCCACGCCCCCCGGATCCATGCTTGCGCTCGCCTGCTTTTCTTCTGGCGGCGCGCACAAGGGGGTGGGGGGAGGGGGGAGGCCTCCTGAGAAGGAGGCTGCCTCTTAGAAGGCGCCGGCCTCACATCTATAGATGAGGCCCGCGCCTAAGAAGCAGGGGTGCTTCTAAGAAGCCCCACCCCCATCTGCGCGTGGCTGACTTCTGCTGGCCGGGACCGAGGGTGGACGATCAGGGATCTTCTGACCCGGGTCAATCCAGACCCGGGTCAGTCAGGCCTTGCAGAATCCTGCAAGGTCCTGCACCCAAGCACGGGTCGAGGCGACGGATCCTGCAAGGTCCTGCAGCATCCTGCACCCAAGCCCGGGTCCGTGCCACCCTGCCCCTGCAGGATCCTGCGAGATCCGGCGCCCTGGCTGACCCCCGGTTTGCACTGACTTCCGTCTCGAGGCTCCCGAGGCAGCCTCGGCCCCCCCGAGCCAGCTTCGGCGGTGGACAAACCTCCCTTTCGTAAACCTCCCCTCAGTGAAAACGGCCTGGGACCGAAACCGACGGACCTGGACCCGCAAAAAATGACGGCCGCGACGCCCTCGTCGCGAACCGAAAACGGCCAATTCCTCAATCGACGTGTCAGGGTGGGAGGTCTATCCACCTCCGATCCCAGATCCACTCTGGATGGTCCCAGGGCCCTAGAACGGGGCGAAAGCAGGTTGGAACATCATACCCGCAGGGGGCAAAATCCAACAAGAAAACATGGGAACCGCTGCTCCCCAGACCTCTCCCAAGGTGCGTTCCGACCAGAATTTCGAGGCGAATCCAGTGGTGGCGACGAGTGCCTCCCAGGAGTTCGACACAACGGGAAAGCCGGCGCAGGGTAGCGATATTGGGTACCCTTTCCCAAATTGAAAAAATCATATCGTCGGAGGTCTGTGCACGGCGCGGCACACCTTTGGACAACTGGGGCACCAGCCAGCAAACCCGGACGCCAGAACCGACACTCCGTACTCCGGCCCCCGCGGAGGGGCGGAGCCAATATGCCTCTCCGCGGGTAGGAGGTCTATCCAGGGTAGGAGGTCTATCCACCTCCGAGCCAGCGCCGCAGCGGGGGCACGCTCGGCGTCCGCCGGGGCGCGCCTTGCGGAGCAGGGCCATGCCCGCCTCGCTCTGCAGCAGCGCGCCGCCGCTCGCGCCCCGCTCGATGGCCGCGATGGCCTCGGGGGCCGCAGCGGCAGCAGGGCAGCGGGCCTGGCCTTGCGGATGCCACGACAGTGGCATCACTCTAACAATCCTAGCGTTGAATTAATCATGTGCTCAAAATGTGTAAGACCTGTTCCAGACATGTGTCGAGCACGTCTTTTACATAGTTAAAACATGTTTGGAACATTCCAAAGACATCTGGGCTCCAAACGTGTGAAAGACATCTGGGAATTATTTGGCAGCATGCTTCCTCTCCTTGAATCGACTTCCACAAACCTGGCCGTCGGGGCCTCCCCCCCTCCCTGCACCGACCTTGCAGACGTACGGCAGCGGATTCTCGCGCGGATCTCCGTCAATGCAGAGCCCCGACACGGCGGGAGAAGAACGAAGTTCATTTCGCGCGGATTTGCTGTATTCTGCACTCCTGGCCAACAAATCCGCACGAAATTCAGTTCGAAATCCGAGGCAAACCTGGCCCATCCCGTTGTTTTTCGAACAAACTCCGCGCTGCGATGTTGGCGCCATGACACCATGGCTCTCCGCGCTTCAGGACTCTCGCCACCGTGCCTCTGGGCATGGAGTGGATAAGTCCTTTGCCTTCTCCCCTGAGCCTGGAGCAGGGACCGACCGTCCCGGCATTCCGAGAGTCCTACCACGAAATGCTCGTAGAGTCCAAAATGTTCTAAGAACAAAAGCAATGTTCTTAGAGTAAAAACCCGATATGATAAAACAAGACAGTCCCAGCCAGAAATGTTCTAAGAACATTTCGTGGACACCACAAAAGGTTATTAGAACATTGTTTGGTAGGACTAAAGGCACGCCAGGACACTTCGCCACTGCTTGAGATCAGTCCTTTGCCTTGTCCCCTGAGCCTCAGTCCCCAGACCCGACAAGATTCTTGAGGCCCCGGACCCAAAATTCTCAAACCTCCCGGGCCTTCCCGCGTGCCTCCCCGGCTTCCCGGCGTCTCGTCGCATGAATGGTTTCGAGCCTCCTCCTGATCTGCCCCGCCATCCTCCCCTTAGAAGGCAACTGCTGGGAGGCTTACGTCGGAAAGGTTAAAAAATTAAGCCCCGTTGGGGGCTCTTACGCCGGAGTGGGCCTCGGATTAAGCTGGATTAAGCGGGATTGAACCGGAGCAAGCGGGATTAAGCGGCGGGATTAATCGGGACCAAGCTGGATTTCGGACCAGAGCAAAATCAGAGTTTGAGATCCCAGGAGTTGCATCCGAACTCCCCCAAGGCTTCCCCGAAGTGTCGGCCTGATGAGAATGCGGAGAGAGGACACGGAGGAGGAAAGGGTGAGGAGGGGAAAGATCATGCGCGTGACACCGCGGCCCCCTGCCTTTGCGCCAGGTTTGGCGCCCTCTCGGGCGCCTTCGGGGGTCCTTATGGAACCGACTCTTGGGATATGAAGCTTCCTGGGCCCCCTGGGCTGTCCCCTGGGGCCTCTTCGGGGGTCTATTCGGGCACTCGTTCGGCACGTCTTGAAGGGCTGGTTGGCGTGTATTTGGGGGCTCTCGCAGGCCTTTTGGAGGCCTATTGAACCCCATTGGGCACATCCGAAGCACTCGGGGAGTCATCTGGAGTCTGGGGCCCTCTTCGGAAACCCCATGAGGCCTCTTGGGGCGGGCTGGACTCCACTGGGCCCCCACGGGCTCCCCGTGAACCGTCTTGAAGCTCTGTTTGGACACACTGAGGACACGTGGGCCGTCCTGGAAGATGCGGGAGTCCCCTAGGGAGCCGTTGGGGTTGGGCAGCCATCCATGTAGAAGGGAGCTCTGCCGTGATGCGTATGTGTGTATGCGTGTATGCGTGTATGCGTGTATGTGCTGATGATCCCCTCTCAAACACACTCGCCGATGATGCGCCCTTTTCGATTCGCTCGTTTAGCTGCACCACTCGGGCCCTTCTGCTCCAGACCTAGCTGGCAGACTGAGGGCCAAGGGGGGCCTGTGAGACATCGCCACTCGGGGTCGGAGCAACGAGGGATAAGCCCACAGGCGCGGTGGCGGATAGGACCCGCAAACTAAAATCTAAGCGGATCATAAGAACCTCTGCCAGGCATTACACTTGACCACCCCAAGGGGGGAAAGCGTCAGGATGTTTCGAGCGGGGTGCGATGGGGGTCTCAGGCGGAATCTCAGTCTCGAGATCGCGTCCAACACAGGCTGAAGGTTCGCCAATTGCTGGGCCTCCATGTCTTGCACCAGACGCTGCACGTCCGCCGCTGTCGCCCTGCTGGCGACCGCGTCCAGCACGGGCGTAAGGTCCACAACTGGCTTCGGACTGAAATCCTGCACCACCTGCTGCAAGTCCGCCGCTGTCGCCCTGCTGGCAACCGCGTCCAGCACGGGCTGCAAGTCAACGTCGGTATTCACAGGCGCTGGCCAGAAATTGCAAACCGCCTGCTGCACATCTGCGGCTGTAGCCCTGCTTGAGATGGCGTCCAGCACAGGCTGAAGGTCCACGGCCGGCTGAGGCCTGAAGTCCTGCGCCACCTTCTCCACAGCTGAAAGTGCGGCCTTGCTCGAAATCGCGTCCAACACAGGCGGAAGGTTCGCCAATTGCTGGGCCCCCATGTCTTGCACCAGACGCTGCACGTCCTCCGCTGTCGCCCTGCTGGCGACCGCGTCCAGCACGGGCGTAAGGTCCACAACTGGCTTCGGACTGAAATCCTGCACCACCTGCTGCAAGTCCGCCGCTGTCGCCCTGCTGGCGACCGCGTCCAGCACGGGCTGCAAGTCAACGTCGGCATTCACAGGCGCTGGCCTGGACTTGCAAACCGCCTGCTGCACATCTGCGGCTGTAGCCCTGCTTGAGATGGCGTCCAGCACAGGCTGAAGGTCCACGGCCGGCTGAGGCTTGAAGTCCCGCGCCAACTTCTCCACGGCTGAGAGTGCGGCCTTGCTCGAGATCGCGCCCAACACGCGCGGAAGGTTCGCCAATTGCTGGGCCTCCATGTCTTGCACCACCCGCTGCACGTCCGCCGCTGTCGCCCTGCTGGCGACCGCGTCCAGCACGGGCGTAAGGTCCACAACTGGCTTCGGACTGAAATCCTGCACCACCTGCTGCAAGTCCGCCGCTGTCGCCCTGCTGGCGACCGCGTCCAGCACGGGCTGCAAGTCAACGTCGGTATTCACAGGCGCTGGCCTGGAATTGCAAACCGCCTGCTGCACATCTGCGGCTGTAGCCCTGCTTGAGATGGCGTCCAGCACAGGCTGAAGGTCCACGGCCGGCTGAGGCCTGAAGTCCTGCGCAGCCTTCTCCACGGCTGAAAGTGCGGCCTTGCTCGAGATCGCGCCCAACACAGGCTGAAGGTTCGCCAATTGCTGGGCCTCCATGTCTTGCACCAGCCGCTGCACGTCCGCCGCTGTAGCCCTGCTGGCGACCGCGTCCAACACGGGCTGCAAGTCAACGTCGGCATTCACAGGCGCTGGCCTGAAATTGCAAATCGCCTGCTGCACATCTGCGGCTGTAGCCCTGCTTGAGATGGCGTCCAACACAGGCTGAAGGTCCACGGCCGGCTGAGGCCTGAAGTCCTGCGCCACCTCCTCCACGGCTGAAAGTGCGGCCTTGCTCGAGATCGCGCCCAACACAGGCTGAAGGTTCGCCAATTGCTGGGCCTCCGTGTCTTGCACCAGCCGCTGCACGTCCGCCGCTGTCGCCCTGCTGGCGACCGCGTCCAACACGGGCTGCAAGTCAACGTCGGCATTCACAAGCGCTGGCCTGAAATTGCAAACCGCCTGTTGCACACCTGCTGCTGTATCCCTGCTTGAGATGGCGTCCAGCACAGGCTGAAGGTCCACGGCCGGCCGAGGCCTGAAGTCCTGCGCAGCCTTCTCCACGGCTGAAAGTGCGGCCTTGCTCGAGATCGCGTCCAAGACAGGCTGGAGGTTCGCCAATTGCTGGGCCCCCATGTCTTGCACCACCCGCTGCACGTCCGCCGCTGTCGCCCTGCTGGCGACCGCGTCCAACACGGGCCGCAAGTCAACGTCGGTATTCACAGTCGCAGGCGCTGGCCTGAAATTGCAAACCGCCTGCTGCACATCTGCTGGTGTAGCCCTGCTTGAGATGGCGTCCAGCACAGGCTGAAGGTCCACGGCCGGCTGAGGCCTGAAGTCCTGCGCCAACTTCTCCACGGCTGAGAGTGCGGCCTTGCTCGAGATCGCGTCCAACACAGGCTGAAGGTTCGCCAATTGCTGGGCCTCCATGTCTTGCACCAGCCGCTGCACGTCCGCCGCTGTCGCCCTGCTGGCGACCGCGTCCAACACGGGCTGCAAGTCAACGTCGGTATTCACAGCCACTGGCCTGAAATTGCAAACCGCCTGCTGCACATCTGCGGCGGTAGCCCTGCTTGAGATGGCGTCCAGCACAGGCTGAAGGTCCACGGCCGGCTGAGGCTTGAAGTCCTGCGACAACTTCTCCACGGCTGAGAGCGCGGCCTTGCTCGAGATCGCGCCCAACACGCGCGGAAGGTTCGCCAATTGCTGGGCCTCCATGTCTTGCACCAGACGCTGCACGTCCTCCGCTGTCGCCCTGCTGGCGACCGCGTCCAACACGGGCTGCAAATCAACGTCGGTATTCACAGTCACAGGCGCTGGCCTGAAATTGCAAACCGCCTGCTGCACATCTGCGGCTGTAGCCCTGCTTGAGACGGCGTCCAGCACAGGCTCAAGGTCCACGGCCGGCTGAGGCCTGAAGTCCTGCGCCACCTTCTCCACGGCTGAAAGTGCGGCCATGCTCGAGATCGCGTCCAACACAGGCTGAAGGTTCGCCAATTGCTGGGCCTCCATGTCTTGCACCAGCCGCTGCCGCCGCTGTCGCCCTGCTGGCGACCGCGTCCAACACGGGCTGCAAGTCAACGTCGGTATTCACAGCCACTGGCCTGAAATTGCAAACTGCCTGCTGCACATCTGCGGCGGTAGCCCTGCTTGAGATGGCATCCAGCACAGGCTGAAGGTCCACGGCCGGCTGAGGCTTGAAGTCCTGCGCCAACTTCTCCACGGCTGAGAGTGCGGCCTTGCTCGAGATCGCGCCCAACACAGGCTGAAGGTTCACCTCTTCCTGGGCCTTCATGTCTTGCACCAGCCGCTGCACGCCCGCCGCTGTCGCCCTGCTGGCGACCGCGTCCATCACGGGCTGCAAGTCAACGTCGGTATTCACAGTCACAAGCACTGGCCTGAAATTGCAAACCGCCGGCTGCACATCTGCGGCTGTAGCCCTGCTTTAGACGGCGTCCAGCACAGGCTGAAAGCCCACGGCTGGCTGAGGCTTGAGGTCCTGCACCGCCAGCGTCACGTCCGCAATTGTCGCCCTGCTGGCGATCGCGTCCAGCACGGGCTGAAGGTCAACCGCCAGCTTTGGGCTGAAGTCCTGCACCGCCCTCTGCACGTCCGCAGCCGTGGCCCTGCTGGCGACCGCGTCCAACACGCGCTGCAAGTCGGCGCTGCTACTCGTGGTGTCGGCCAGCCTGGGCTTGAGGTCCTCGACCGCGGACACGATCCGGACTTCGGCGGCGGCCACGGCCTCCTGCACGGCCGCCACGGTGTCCAGCGCGAGCGCCCTGGCGATCGCCCTCTCCGTGCCGTCTGTGCACGGCGCGGGCCTCGGCGGGCGGCGCAGCTTGCGGGGCACATCGGCCGCCCTGATGAACTTGATGCTGTCGGGCGTGATCACGCGGACCGTGCCGGCTTGGACGGTGTGGCCGCAGTCCACCGCGTCCTCCTCGTACACCTTGGTGACCTGGCCCGCGATCCAGGCTCGCCCCGTCGTGCTCCACACCTCGCAGTCCTCGCCCTGCCGCAGGGCGTGCGGCGCCCAGACGGGCGAGGGGCCGTCGGCTTTCGCCCTGCGCGGGCCAGTCTGCTCGTCCGCGGGCGGGCCCAGGAGAGCGGCCAGAGCCCTCTCGTGGCGGTCGAGCCTCTCGGCGACCGCAGACGCCAAACACGCCATGCCCTGCTGGAAGTCCGCGGAAACATGCTGCTGGAGCAAGTGGAGCGCATCACTGGGCGACTCCTGGGCCCGCTGCCCATGGGCGGCGTGGCTGGGCCGCAGGCGCCCTGCCATCCAGCCGCTCTCCGGTGAGCCAGACGCGGTGGTGGACAGGTCCGTCCTTAGATCGAACGCGGACTGCGGCCGCGCGAGCTGCTTGGGCGGCGTCTGCGGGCCGCACGAGCTTCTTGTTGGGCCGCTGTTCATCATCGCGGAATAGCAGCGGTTCGCGCCCTGCGCGGGGGCCGCCAGGGCCCCAGAGGCGCCCGCAGCAGGGCGGCCGGTCCCATCGAACCTGGGGCTGGCTTGACCCAAAATGGCTTGAGCCAAGGCTACGGAGTGGTGGGGATACGCGAAGCGTCAAGACTTCCTGATCTCGTGCTTTACATTTTCGTGCTGTGCTCTGGCGGGGCAGCACAAAACCACAATGCAGCATCGCAACTGCCAATGGAAGAGCCGGATCCTGCAAGAGACGGGTCCTGAACCTGAGTCGCCTGACAGGGCCCCGTGGCCACGACAAGAGGAACAAAAAACGCCATAAACATAACCAGTTGGAGGTCCGCGCGGATTTCTTGGACCTGCGCTGGCCCCCCCTCCCTGGCGCGCGGAGCGCGCCAAGGGCGGCGCCAGAGGCGCCGCGGGGGTGGCCCAGCGCGGATCAAAGAAATCCGCGCGGAGCGCCAACACAAATGTTTACGGCGTCGTTTCTCCTTCGGAGGAAGGGTCCCGAAGAAAAACAAAAACAAAACAAACAACCGAAAACATAACAACAGTTCGCACAGAACCCCCTTTCCCCAATGCCAGATCAGTTCGGACACACTGCATCCATCGGCGGTGGACAAACCTCCCCTGAAAATAAACCACCCTCTAGTGAAAACGGCCCAGGACCAGAAGAGACGGACCTGGACCCGCAAAGATGACGGCCGCGACGCCCTCCCTCGCGAACCGAAAAAACGGCCCATTCGCTCATCGACGTGTCAGGGCAGGAGGTCTGTCAGCCTCCGAATCCAGCCGGGTCGCATCGACGTCTGGTGCCGGAGCCTCCCTCCCCTCGGCAGGGCGGAGCACCTGCCAACGGGTGAGGTCGGCGCACTCCCGTCGACAGCCTCGGATCGCCAGGCATCGGGCCAGCAGGCCTGCTTGCGCCTCCCAACCCTCGGCGAAACACCTACAGAGAAGTCGGGTCCGTCCCCCTACAGCCGGATTTTGAGCGAAGAATGAAAAATACCCAAACATGCCCAAACATAATACATAACAGGCACTAGACAAATCCTCCCCAGACTCCACTTCGAAAGTATTCTGCATCCTTCTCCTGCAGAAGAGCAGGCCCGACTCGAGCCTGCAGGGGCCCCGTCTGATGAGGACGCACGTCGAGGATGCAGGGGCCTCGGGAGACCGTGCCGACACTTCGCGCGCGGGGCGCGGCCGGCACAGGCGGGCAGGAGGAGGAGGAGGAGGAGGAGGAGCAGGAGGAGGAGGAGGAGGAGGAGGAGGAGGAGGAGGAGGAGGAGGGAGGAGGAGCAGGAGGAGGAGGAGGAGGAGGAGGAGGAGGAGGAGGAGGATGAGGCAGAGGAGGAGGAGGAGGAGGAGGAGCAGGAGGAGGAGGAGGAGGAGGAGGTCAGGACGCAAGGGTGCCCTCGGGTTCTGCTGCTCCCCTCGTGCTTACCTTTGGAGTCCCGAAACGGTGCGTTGACACACCGTGCGGTGACCTCGAAATCCAACAGGACCTCACCGCACGGTCCGTCACCGCACGGTCTTGGGACCCCGGGGGCCCCTGTCGCCCGAGACGTCTTCGGAGAGGGACCCGAGTCCCAAAACCGTGCGGTGACCCCGAATCCCCGCCGACTCACCGCACGGTGTGGTCACCACACCGTTTGGTGCCCCCCATTGAAGACCACATCCCAGAAATGATTTCGAGCTCCCGGAACAGTGTCGAAAGAGTGTCGGAACAGCGTCGAAGCAGTGCCTCTCAGGGCCCGGCACGTGAAAACTCACGGGCCTCGGCACTTTTTGGGGGGCTCGACATTCTTTCTGGTGGTTTTAAGGCTAAAGTGGGTTGGAACAACATAGCCCTCGGCAAGGCTGCCCATGATCAGTATGCGGGTTGACTGAACGCTCGAGCCCCGCCTTCCACGGCCCCCGAGGCTGCCCACAGACCCGTCGTCTCTGCCCTCTAGGCCCAGCCAGCCTTCGTGAGGCCATCCACATACATCTTGAGCTCCGACTCCTTCTCCAGGAAGCCCTGTGGGAGGACTACGATTTGTTCCCGGTGCGCTGTCCAGGCCGACATCGCTGTGCCTGACTGCCAAAGAACTACCTGGCGGATGCACCCGCTGCAGGTCAAGAGTGCGGGCCAACCAACATGAAAGAGCAACCGTGCAGATTAGACGAGCGTTTGCGTGCTCGGTTTGGGCGTGGAGTACCGCGCCAGTCGCGTGCATACAAACAAACACGCATCACGTCTCTCCGCCAGCACCGCGGGAAAAAAGTGCACTCCGAGTGAAAGGATCAGGCTCAGGCGCCTGGGAGCAGTGCCCGGGGGATGTTCCCCAGACCCTCCAGACAACAATACCTGATTGTTAGCCGTTCATTTCCGCTCTGGACCAGGGCAAGCGAACAGGGGGAGCGTCGACGTCGACGTCGTCGTCGTCGTCGACGGAGGCGCAGCAAGCGCAGACGTGCACCTCGTGGCCTGGGCAACGGACTCGACTGTGCCGTCGGAGCGAAGAGAGCGCGACGGGGACGGCGAACTGGAGGAGGAGAGGGGCGACACGACGCTGCAGCCGTATGCTGTTCGAGAACAAGAGACACAAGGGATGGTACGACTGAAGGGGCCCAATGACACACAAATAAACAGACACACTTCCCAAGATTCCCCAGATTCCCCTATATTTACTGGGTGTCCGTCTTATCCCGCACTGCCCATATTTCCACATATGTTCCTGGGAGTCGACGGTGAATTGTATAAACAATCAGCTTGGTGTGTATATGCCGAGCAGCTACAGTTGTGGATGCCATGACAGTGGAAACTCCAACAGTCCTATCATTGAACTAAAGATGTGTTCTGAAAATGTGTCAAGCACGTTTTCAGCATATTTAAACATGCTTGAACCATCGTATAGGCATCTGGAAATCATTTGGCAGCATGCTTCCTCTCAGTCAATCGACTTCCACAAAGCTACAGCTTTCTACTCTACTCGTGTGCGGCGCAGGCCGCGATCAGAGCGCTGCAGGTGGGAGCTGCACTGCGAGCAGCGGCTTTCTCAGGGAGAGCGGCCCGAGGGGAAGACGCACGAGGAGGGCAGCAGGGGATAGAAAGAGAGGGGTCGACCTTCCCTTGGGCCGGGCGAAGGGGGGGAATAGCAAACGGGGGGATTTGATAATCAGCTCACGTAGCTGATTTCCCCGGCGCCTCCCGGCGCCGGGAGGCGCCCATGTATGGTCCAGGGCTTGCCCCCCCCACCCCCAATTTGCTTGATGCCATTGCGCCCCGCCCCCCCCCTCCCGCGCGATGGTCCCCCCCGCCCCCCCCTGTGGGCGTGGCGTGGTGCTGCGCTGCGGTTCCCCCCCCCATGTGGATGTGGTGTGGTGCTGTGGTGGTTCAGAGGTGGGCGTGGCG